CACGGCCGTGGGCCTCGTATGCTCTGACATTAACCACTATAGAACATTTCGCAAATCAACGACATTTACTGTCAGCACAGAGGAGTACCTTTCTGGCACTGGGAGACTAACATTTTCAGAGGAAAACTTAACGTTGTCAATATGCCCCCCCCCCATTTCATTAAACAATTGTTGTAGATAAAGTGCGATAGTTCGATAATGAAGCCCTAATCTCACCATCAACAGAATTACGTCAGTGGCTGATCTGCATAAACGGCTAGGTCCGATAGCCACTAAGAATCGGGGCAGAGTTTCCTTAGGGCTGAGGTAGCGCCTGGTGAAGCCCTATATACTGATTTTACTGAGGGCACCTTGCCTCATAAATGGAATTGAATACTTCGTAAAAGAATTGAGGTAGTGGATGGACTTTGTTGTACTCTACCGAATCAAGTCGATTATTCTGGACTGCGCAGTAGAGATAACGTTTCTTTCGCTTAGGTTCATACGGGGTGTGCCATTTTGGCATGTTGGTAAGTGGCACGGAGAAAAAATATTTACTTTCGATAAACACTCGACCCCTATCTGCAATGTTTTCACGTTATCACCAGCCAACAGCAGTCTGAATATGCGGAGAAAACCCTTTTATGCATAAACTATTACATACATATGCCTAAGCTGCATCGCGGTCCGTACTATACTATTTCAATATAGTACTGTACCAAAATCAGCAGCCACTTCTACTGGGAGTAAATTGTTTAGCATAGGGTAAAAGCCATGCCTTCATATCAAGTTTTTCCAAAAATGCATAAATATATATATTCTTGTTTAGGCCCAAATAATGGTTAATCAGCATGGTATAGAAGAAGGGGATAAATATATTTATTTGGGGCAGGAAGAAGTGGCATGCGATGCAGGTTGAAATCTGGCTGGTTCTGGTACTCGATGCTGAGAGTTCAACGTACTCAGTTGCGGGCACAGGTGCATGGTAGCGGAGAATGGCCGCTGAGGTAAGAGGATGAGTATAATCGATTCGTTGATGAAACAACGAGGGACAGGGAATGCTGGTAGTTCCGCTATAACGTCCTCAGTGCTGTCATCAAACAGCAAACCAGAATGACAGCCCACAGTGGCTATCCATAACATTTACCATCTTTCAGAGTACCGAGTCTACTAGGAAAACCATCTCGAAAGTGTTGGCTGGAGCGTTTAGATATCTGATCGCCAGAGGCCACAACTTGTGTTCTAACACAGTAACTTGAAGTAACACGTACTCGTGGCACTGAGGCAAAACAGATAACACAAAACGCTCGTCCAAAGTCAGAAAAAAAACTGGATGAGTAATCGACCGAAACACGAACCTGTATCCTACACCAGTATTCCTCACATTCCGTGTCTGTCTGAATCTACAGGGCGGATTATGTACTCACAGGATGTCAGAGTTGCATTCAAGTAGCAACGGATGCTAGGACAACTGCTAGCTAAAATGAAAAACTGAATTATACTTGAAGGCATAAAAGATATATTCTACCAGAATGAATGACATAAGGACAACCTGCAATGTATTGGCTACGAATTGCTGACGCTGCTGGTGCAATATTCTGAACAGAACAGAATGAACAGATAAGCAGTCCCTGAGCAAAAATTTCGAAATAACTCATGGATCAATTCATCATAAGGCTGCTACGTAACAATTACGAGAACTCATAAATACCTTGTGAAATGTTAAGGTTAAAATATAAATTTGTTTAGTTAAACGTTTTGCCATAGTCGTTGTTTCAAAACAAATTTCTAGCTGTTATAGGGATCCATATCCAGTCACGTGTGAAAATATTTTTGATTGCTACGGGACACCAAATTAACTTTGTACCTACAACATTTACAAAGACAGCAAATAATATTCTCGAAAGAGTCCTTCCAGAACTCAGATCACAAAAAATGTTATGAGTGATGAAAGAGTGCAAAATATTTTAAGTACAGGACGTGCAATATCAAAGCAATTTCGAAGCAATGAAAGAGAACCGTGGCTGTTTCATTAGTGCCCGTAGAAAATGACTAATTTAAAGTGACAGAATATCAAAATCTAGCTAATTAAAAAAATTATTATTGACCTACCATCGACATAACTCTATACAGTGGGAGAATTGGCAAGAGTTTCATCACTTTACTGAAGAGGACTGGAAATTCCAGCCGAAGTATGGTCAAATTCATTCGGAGCTGTTGTCGCTAGTGAATAAATAAAGAACATTCTCAGTCTGTTCATGCTACCCAAGACCACAGTATTGTTTGGATTGTTACTAAGGAGCGTTCATCGTATAGGGGGGGGGCGGACAGTTGTCGCACATTTTAGCCTGACGCCGAACAGAGTAGTGGTGATAGCAACCTCAGAGGCAGTGGTCAACCAACATGCACCAAAATCGCTTGTTTATTACAAGCAGTTAAAAAAACAACTCAGCTAGGCAATCTCTCTCACATAAAAGACGGCATCTTTGCAACATGGCAAAGCAGATCGTTTGTACAAAGCAAAGTACAGAACACAAATAATGGTACATGGAATCGTGGGAGCGTCGCTAGGCGAGATTTTTCACTCCAAGACAGAGGGTCTCGCAGTCCGATTGGAACCTGAACGAAAACGGCGGCAAATGCGACTCGGTAGGGCAGAACGTTGTCTTGTACGGCTTGCAGGCGTCCACGTCCTTGTACCATCGAAGAACTTGAAGGGGCTTCGATCCGTCCGGCTTGCACCTCTGCTTCATCGGCAGCTGCTGGCAGTAGATGACGTTGGCCACTAAATTCGACTCACTTTCACTCATCGGCAAACACGACGTGAAAATAACGGAATCTACGTTCGCAGGTAGGAAGCTTCTCTCCGGCCTTCACCCGTGTGCCCTCCTTTTCCAGACCAGAGGTGGTGTTGACGCACCAGCAATCCTGCGTATCGTAATCACACTGCAGTGGCTCGTAGAAGCCAAAAGTGTCACATTCTGGTATGAACGAACTTTCAGCGTCTTGCAGTCGTGCTTGTTCCTTATGACAAGCTTAAACACACAAAGAGTGAGGAAATAAATGCAATGCTGACTAACGAGCATTACCTCCACATCTGACGTGTTCCGCTCTGCCCTCAACCCGAGAATAAACCAATTCCTCGCCGGACAGCACGTCGACGCACCAACACTCACCGGCTTCGTTGTCGCACTGTACTTGCGCGTAGTCGCCTAAACACACCACAGTAAAAAGCGTGCCTTGCCACACTTTTCGTAAGGAAACCATTCTCCTCGCATCTCGGAAGCCATTGCTCTCTTTCATCTTCTTGCTTCAGTTTTGCTATCGTTTGTCTGCAGTCACTTCTGTTCATCTTCATCACAGCAGCTTCTAAAACAAAACTTCTCTGGCTACTTCATGGAGCAGAGGGTTAGGATGGGGCAAAGGGAGGGGGGGGGTAAAATAACTTACCGCTGGCGACCGGATTAGCGTATAGGAAAAAATCAGAGCTCTCTTTGAAGTTCAACATGTTCAAAACTTTCATGCTAGCATGAGGACTTTGGCAGAGAGTCGACGTCGTTTGCAAATAGTTGTACTGTAGTTTTTCCAGCATTTGCGAGGCTCCGGGCTCACACATTGTGCAGTTCAGGTGACTGATGCAAGACTGGACGACGTCAATTTTCCGGCAGGCATTGTCCTCCAGTATGGCTGATTCGGTAGAGATTTTGAAAAAGTTCATAAAAGTCTGCAAGCAGAAAGTTATGTCCGTCTGGTTGGCCATATACTGAGCGATACAGGTGCCATGCTTGTGAATCGCGTCCACCATCTCATGACTGCAAAGCGATCCAACTAGTCCAAGCTGCAAACAGAATGTATGCACATGAAATAAACTTTTATAACTTTGAACAACTTTTCACAAGTTTGGTCATAAATGACAGTACATATTATTTCATCAATACACTGATTTAAATTTCTCAGATTTAAAAATAAACTCAAAATATAGTTGGTTGAATACGTAAATACGCATATAGTGGCATCGATTAGTCATTGGCATGCTACAGATTCAACACAGCTGGAAGTAAAGAAGAAACTTTGCAACCGTTTGAATGTTTGTCTTCCTTACATTTCTGACCCCATTTTTTCAAGGAACTAATGGCGAGGCACCGGTCACTATTTCCATATAAACAATGATGGGTGCATTGTTTCAAAGACGAAGTCGACAGCTCTGTGGTAAGCATAGTGTGTAGGCTTTTGTTGCCTTCCCTCATTAATCGCTTCCAAAGGGAGCAAGATAAGTGACAGAATCAAGGTTCATAGGATCTGTCGGTTTTGAATTCAACATTCATTCGAATGAGCATCGCGATCTGAAGCAGCTTATGGTAAGTTTATTGCTCAGAGGAAATCATGGTTAAAACAACGGTTGCACTATAATGTAATCGAACCCGAAACCTCGGCGGTCAGACTCCTACCTCATAGGCTCGTAAGCACTGTCCTACTGTACCTCAAATATGTAAGTATGCGTAATACTCATGTAATAAATGGTCATGAATGCTCGTGTTAGGTCCTTTCTTTGAAACTGATAGAATAAAGAGAAAACTGAATAAAACGATATCTGTTTCAGTATGCGGGTACCTTTAGCGGTTGAAATTTTCACGCTGTTGCCTTCTATAGGTCTATGCTAGTTTCTTAGGTCACTCAGCTGCTTAGTTTCGCCTCTAGAAATATTTTTGTTCGTCCGCATGATGCGGACTTGAACTCGCTCTGTCTCGAAATGAAGCATACCGAGGCGCATGTTTTGCTCAGGAGAACTAGCAGTAAGAAGATTATTAAGAAGAGAAATTAATAATTAATTATTAATAAATAGTGTTAATAGGAGAAATTTTATGCGCTGCACCTGGACTTCAAACCCAGTACCTCTTAAGTTAAAACACAACGACTAACCTATCGACCACTGCAATCTCCAACTTCATCCTTCAAGTATCCATCTTTCTACTACTACGTTCCATCCTTCCTGATTG